GTGAACATACAGAAAGTATACGGGAGGGGCTAACATGAGGGGCAGTTCTACACATTTGCTTTAACAACTGGAATGTTTTTAATACAGTATTATAATGAAAAAACTAAACTAAAAGTGTTTTCTGCCTTTCCCCTCTTGCAGAGTCACTGCTCAGTCATAAGTAGCCCAGATTCCCTGTACCCTAGAGAGGGGCCTCTGATCAGTACAGGGCACAGATCCTGTCATGTTTATAGGAAATGTTGCCTCACACTGACCGCCCTGCCTCTGTCCTGCTCAAACCCGTCAATCAAATACCGAACTTGGAGGAGCATGGGCTGGGCAAGCCAAGATGAAGCGTGGACACAAAGCAACACCGAATGGGCCTAGCCAAGAAAAAGGAATCCAGAAACCCAACGGGGTAATCTCTCCTCGCTGAGATTAAGAACATCCCAGCCCTGGGATGGTAGAGGCAAGAGGCTGCGGATCATTCATCCGACCAGGCAGGCGAGGCGATCTCCCATTACTCCTGGGTAGTTGACGGTGGCTCAAGTCCAGCCCCGCAGAGCAGACACGGAGGCCTGCTGGGGTGAGGAGGACACGGAAGGGCCCTGCGCCTCCCGCCTGCTCGCCGCGTCCAGGTTCCCCGCCAGGCCACGGTGCCTCGGCCCTGGTGGACCCGCTGCAGGGGAGGGATATGGGGAGCATCTTGCTGCTTGAAGAGGTTCTTTCTCCAACTGAGCCCCTGCCACACGCCATTACCTTGCGGGAAGGCTCTTTGTGAGACCTCGACCCGGGCAGCCAAGAGGCCACGAGATGGCAGCAGAGGACACAGCCCAGCACAGAAACCCTAAACCATTTGCAAAAGCAGATATTTGATTTGGGAGATACCGTCTGTTGTCTATAATCTGTATTCAAGGCCAGAAAAAAATGACTGAATTTCAAAGAAATGAGGGCAAAATTCATCAACACGGAGAATTTCTCAATCACCACAGAATTCAGCTGCATATGAAGCCACATGTGAATCGATCATTTCTACAGTGCTTAAAGCAAGGGATAGGGGTCAAGGCCTTGAAAAACTGACGTCAGCAGGAACCTTGTCACAGTCACTTCTTTCTGTGAAGTTCCAATAGGCAGTAATTCAAGTAAAATATGAGTGACTTTCACAGAGGCTGCCAAAGTGATAAGGGTGATTGCTGGGAAGCATTGTAGCAAAGCAGAATGCTTTCCCGCAGCAGCCAGGACTCTGGAGACAAGCAGTGTGGGGGAGAATAATGAAGATCACAGGATGTCTCAGACCATCTTCATTCGCAGCTGGGAGAAGATAATGCATATGGAAGGGGCATTAGTAACACTGAGACTAAATCTCTGATCTTCTGACTTCTCATCTAATCATCTAATGCTCCTTCCATTCTAACCCCTCACCTGCCCCCAACACCAGTTGTTAAAACTAAAAATATCTCTAGACATTGCCAAATAACTCCTAGTGGGCAAAATGCCCCCTCCCTGAGAACTAATGCTGTAGAGAGATATTGATTTAAAAAAAAAAAAAAAAAAAAAA